AGACCACTAAAGTCCGTTATCACGTAGGGGATTTATCTGTTCTCACCCCGGAATCCCGTGTTTTAAGCGGTGAAAGGGATTTTCGGGATTAAAGCTTGGGATTCAGTTGGACCTTTGAAACTCAATCCGTAACGCGATCCCGGGATTGCGATTTTGCCGATCTCTATTCAAAAGTACAATTTAAAAATTTTCATTTTTCAATATCATGAAAACCGGCTTTTCTCATTCTCTCCTTTAATTTTTTGTATTCACTACTTTCGGTAACTTCTATTACTTTGTGACATGTTGGGCAGTTGTAGCTTTCTTGATTTACTAGACTATCTAATATGCAATCTTCATGGAAGATATGCCCACATTTAAGTTTACTAATAAATTTATTTTCTTTAATTTCTTGATGACATATTTTACAAATTTTTTTATTTTCAGGCAAAAAGGAGAAAGGCATAACCAATCCTGCCAACAACAAATGGCCTAATTTCTTCTTAAAATAAAATATTAACTAGTAATTAATAGAGTTATAGCTAAACAAACAAAATAAACCAGACTAGGACACGGATACTGATTTTGGTATCCGTATCCGGATATTTACGGCGGATACAGACGGATATCCGCAGGCATTTTTACAATATCTGTATCCATATCCATGTCTTAGTCTGAAATAAACTAAAAACATACAACAGCATGAATTTTCACTTCTCTCTCAATTTTTTCTATTTTTTGTTCACAATTTAAGCCATATTCAGATAATATTTTGAATGCTTCTCCATAATCCATTCTATTAAGTTTATATTCAATTTCATCAGTTTTAACCCCCTTTGCAATTAATGCACGAGCAATTAGAGCATGGTACTACAATAAATAAAATATGGGACATTATGTATTCTTAATATTCTATCCATCACAATTTTATTACCCCTAGCTGATTTTTTGCATTTCAAACTTCATAAAATATATAATTGAAAAACTTGTCGTGTTGTGTCCGCACTTGCAGAATGAATATAAATGAAAATATATAACCCTTCATCGGGTTGGATGGTGGCACAGTCGATTGTGCTTTGATCTGGACCTTTTCCGTGGTGGTTCAATTTCATCTCCCATCCAATGAATTTTTCCACAGCATGAACAGAAAAAAAAACTTGTCTAGGATAACCACAGTGTCGGTTATCCTAGACAAGTTTAGCAATCAGAAAAAAATCTGATCGACAAAGTTGCGAGGATATGTGAGGATACAAATTAGCGAGGATACATATGTGCGGAAAGTTTTAAAACGTGACCCTAATGAGGGGCAAAATTTCAGTCTATCGCGTTTGGTGTAAAATTAATTTAAAATTTTGATTAAATCCCAAACAAACTTTACTATAATCTTGTTTTAAATCAACTAACATATTTATTATTTAATTGCTTCAGATAGTCTAATTTTTCTGGATGTTGGTTTATATGAACAAACATATCATATAAATATACACAATTGTTATAAAGTTGTTGAACTTCTTCCTTTGGTAAACCCTTAAATTCGTGAACGAGTTCAATTAATTCGTTGTTAGGGGCTTTTACAGTTAAAATTAAAGGAAAGAAAATAATTAATGAAAAGAAATAAATTGTTAATTTAATTGTTGAAATTAACATTTTTTGGATGCTTCTTTTTGTTAAATTAATTTTAAAAATTTCTAAAAAAATTATTGAAATTAATTTAAAATTAAATATATTCTCTTATTTATACTATGTACATATAATAATGATAATTAAATTGTGACCAATCAGGAATAAAGTAAACCAGCGGGGATATAGCTAGGTTCGTTCAGCTAGTGCAAAAGGTTATTCGGCGGCTGGCAGCGAATTAGCATCTTCAGTAGACCGGACTGATATAGCCTTATTCCTACTGCCCAGCCTTAGGAATTAAATAGCTATATGCTTTACAATTATTTAGTTATACATTATCTCTCTCCTCGCATGTATTCTTGTATGATTAGCCCCATTCATTCAATGAAGAATACTTCAAAGAAATTAATGATGCCAATACAATTAAATAATAATACATAGAAAGGCATCCAAGAATTTCTAAAATAAGATTTTTTACATAAGTTTTACAAAAAATTTAAGGAAAGTTACAAGAGAGAAATGTTGTTTATTTAAAAAATAATTTTTATGATGGCAGATTTATTGCTAATTAAAAAGGCAGCCATCGCTTTAAAAATTAGCCGCCTATTAAAATTTTATTTACATCGATGCCCTTTTAATTAAGCACTTTTTTAAACATTGATTCTTTTAAACAAAAATAAAAAATAAAATTTTAAAAGAGCGGAAAAGATAAAAAGAAAAGGGCAAAATTGACAATGCCACAACAAACTCCATTCACGTGAATTCACATTAATCGAGTTTTTGTAAAAATATCCGTTTTAATTTTATGAAATCTGTCTATCTTTCACAATTTTGATGTAAAATTACTGTTTAAATTTTCATTAGAAATTTTAATATAATTTTTAAATTGAAAATATAATTAAAAAATTTTTTGAAAAATATGTAATTTTGTGGTGGAAGATATTTTAAATTTATAAATAATAAAAAAACACAATTTACTGAAAAAATTTATACAAAAGATAAAATAAAGAAAATCAGATAGAATAAAACATAATTTACGAAAATAGGACAGAATGGCAAAACTTTTTGTTGTAATTAATATACCGTAAATACTAGAAAATAATAACTTTCTCTCAATTAATTACCCCCCATTTTTCGTAAACTAATTTTAAAAATAATTTTAAAAAATTATTATCAATTTTAATTAACGGAATATCCTTTGAATATTTGTTTTTTATTGCTCCTAGTTTTTCCTTGCGAAAACTTTTTAATAAATTTTGAATTTCATCTTCATTTCATTGAGATCTATCCCAAATCCAACACCCCCTCCCTAACCGTCTTTTTTGTAGTTTTTGATTTTTATAGGGGTTTATGAGGTTTTTTGCCGTTTTTGTGTTTGCTTTTTCTTTTTTTGTTCTGTTTAAATAATTTTGAATCCCCTAATTAGATGCTAGTAAAAATAAAATTAATATAAACAGAATATCGTTTAGTAAAAAATAGGAAAAAGATAAACCCGAACACAACAAAATTTTAAAAAATTTGCCCAACAAGAATGTTTTTTAAAAAATCACAATTTTCTAGTTTTCCCTGCGAAAACTTTCAAAAAAATATTCCTTCCAATTTCTTCTAAATTTCTGACAAATTTTATAAATATTTGTCATTTAATGCTTTATCTCCCAATAATGCTTTTTAGTGTTTATGTTCAAAATTAATTTATGATGATTGATTATTTCATGTTTATTTGCAGCAGTTAACTCTTTAATGGTGAACTCAACCTAAAAATATGTACATAATTATTAATAATTAAAAATAATTTAAAAATAATTTTTGAATTTATTTTTATTTTTCAAATAATTCACTAAATTATTAACTATTGATAACCAAAAATCTTTTTTTCTTTAATTTGTTTTGGTAATTCTTAATAGTATCCAATATCTTACAAATTCTCTATCGAAAAGTGGCACTTTTAGATGGACTCATTTGAGTTATTTTTGGATGACTCAGAGGGTTAATATGTAAAAATCTTTTCGGAAAACTTGGTCGATATATCTCCGATAGGCCTAATTATTTTACTTTTCATTAAATTTTTTTGATGATGATTTCTATATAAATGGAAGAATAGATTTATCTGAAAAGTATGAAAATTACTTTCTGAATTTTATCAGGCTTTTCAAATTCAATATTTACATTTTCAACCCAAGTAACAGTAAATTTATTTAAATTTGCTGGAATTAAATAATTATTGCATTCTTCTCCAACCGATTGTGAACCAACAAAATATTTAGTTTTGTTAGAATTTTCATTTAAATATTCCATAAGAATACAATAACAAGTTGAGTTATGATTTTCTTTTTTTGGTATAACACAAATTGTAGTTTGTACCGTGTTTGGAACTAAAATTTAAATTATAATTTTGTCTATATTTTTGAATATTTCACTTGATTTAAAGCATGTATGTTCCTTTTTCAGTTTTATATCAAAATAATTTCTTTGATGAAGTCGAACAGAACAATTTTGATTTTTCTTCTCTGCACATATGTAATAATCGACATTTACCCCCTCATTGTTGTGATAGTATTTAAAACATTTGAATTGGCGAGTTTTAATAAAATGCCAGTAATCACCTTTAAATTAAAAATGTACGAATATAAGGGAAATAAAAAAAACCAAAATTATTGTGTAGTTTAACAATTTCTTGCTTAATTTGCGGAACAGCAAGATTGATATCCAAACAAAATTTCTCAATAAATAAAATATCGTTTACTTCAATTGTTCGGAATTTCTTTCCTATAAATTTTAAATTTTTAATTTTATATTTAAATATTAAATAATTCGAGTTTCCTCTGACACAGTAGAGCCCCCCTCCCGTCTAATAGAACCCCCGTCCAGAGGATAGTTGAAAAATAATAGAAATTATAGAAAGTACGGTAGTTCCATTTGTGCCAAATGTTTTATTTCATTAATATGTATGTAGTCTTTAATAGGGACTACATATTCCCCGTCCCCGAAAGTCGGGGAATTTGAGAGATTTTTTGAAAATTCTCCGTCCCCGTCCCTCGTGGCGCTGCCTCCCCTAAAATCTTCCCCGTGCCCCCCCCCCCCCCCCCCCGTCGGGGAACAACCCTAGTCTTTAATACACTCATCTATTAGAAATAGATTATTTTATTTTTAACTTTTTTACTTTGTTTCGTATCAAAAAGCAATTTCTCCAAACTCTTTTGATTCTCTGTTAATAATATATTTTAAGAAAAAGATTATTCAACTTACCTTTAAACTTGAGGTTTTTAAAATATTGACAAATTTTATTTGCGAATTCATAAACGTCGTTATGTGTTTTTATTTTTGTACTTTGAGAATTAATGTTGGAACTACTCGGATTGTCTGGCTGAAAAGATTTGTAAATAATGATTTAGCCGCTCATGGAATATATCCAAAATAAAAAACCTGAAGGGAATACTTTTCGTGATTGGACGGAAATTGATGTTGCTGGGTTGGTGCTGGATTTGTATATGGGCCTATAAAATTTTCAAAAGTATTCGCATTGTTTGGATATTCATAACTTTGCTGAATTGGCGACGGATTGATTGGGTTGTTTTCAAAATGTTGAGGGAACGGATTCTAAAACTCAAAAATAAATTAAAATCTAAGTTAAATTAAACTTGTAAATTTGAATAGAATTGGTGATTAGACGGTGATGGAAATGGAAATTGATGGTGTTGTGTTGAGGCTTGGTGAGATACATACGGCTAAATTCGCAAAAGAGTAGTTTATTATAGTCTAGATAAATGTCAAAAGACCTGGAGAGAAAATTCATCATGACTAGAGGGAAACTGGCGTTGTGTGGTTGGTGTTTTGGAAGTTGCATAAGGCCCTACAAGGTATTCAAGAGTGTCTTTATATTTTGAATCATCATCATTCTCCATTTGTTCAACAATTTGTGGCATAAATAAAAGAAATAGTAATTGAATTGTCAAATTTTTCGATAACATTTTTAAAAATATTTATCTTAATTTTTGTGTTAACTTCTTAACTACTACTTCACAAACTCTGCCCATATAACTTTAGAATTGTTAAAAGTTTAAATGACTTTCTTAGCGAAGGTCTCGCGGACTATCACATAAGAAAATGGAGCGGATTTTTTTCAACGAGGAATCGCAAAAGAAATTAAAAAGGGGCAAGATTTGACTTGTCTTAAATAAAGTGAAGCTAGAAAATTTATCAAGGCATTCACAAGCACTATTCATGTAGCAATGGATGGGTAAGGGGATATGTGGAAATTAAATTAATTTGGCTTAGGTTTAGGACATGAATATGCGTCATGTTGAAATTATGCGTCCCACGAAGTATATTTATGTATCCCAAAAAATCATCTTGCGTCCCATGAAATTATATACGTCCCAAAATATTCTTTTGCAAAAAATTTTATTTTTTGTTTTTTATTTTATTATCAAACTTCTTATTAGGAAAAAACCCCTTCTATTCATTGTTGAGAAAAGCAAGAATTTTAATAAACATTTTGAAGTTCTAATGATTTTTAGAACATTTTTAATCATTTAAAGAAATTTTCCAAAATTTTATTAAAAGAAATGTAAAAAATTTTTTAATTAAAAATTGTTTATCGGCAAGAAATATCCGCAAATACATACAAATTTAATATTAATTAGGTAATTAAACAATACTTCCTATTGTCTTTCTCAAATTATTATAAATTACTCGTCTTAAATAAAGCTGTATATAAATTTCTGGAAAATTAAAGAATAAAAATTTTGAGTAAAAATCTGTGAAAAATATATTTGGGAGATCATAGCATAGTACTTAAACAGTTTTTATTATTTTTAAAGGGAATGTATAATTCTGTTCGGCATTGAAGTTTCCGGCATTGGAGCAACTTGATTAATATTTGAATTATTTTTACATCGAAAAATTATTTGTCTGTAATTTCTTACACTCAAAATTGTTACCTTTAAAATTTATTTTTTTAAGTTTGAAGAAATATGCACTACTTAATAAAGGAGTGTCATTTCTGGAGGTACTTCTTGCGGCCATTTGTTAAGGCTTTTATTTAGTTTAAATTTACACCTAATATGGTTACAAACACTTAAAATCTCATTAGAGCTCATTTATTCAAATTATAATTTACCAAAAGACTTTAAACTGTGGTTGACTGATTCTGGAGTACTTAACCAAAAAGAACATTTAATAGTGATAGCGAAATGGGTACAGAAAAATATTTTTGTGAATTAAATTTTAAAAAAATCCGCAGAAATGACACTCCTTCAGTAATATCAAAAATAAAAGTAAAAACTCACAATAGGATTTAAAACAGCAATTAATGACCCCAAACTTGAAGTAAAGTATATTGCAATAGACGAAGAATATAGACCAGGCAAATTAAACAAAAAATTTAAATTGGTGAATAAAGTGGTGATATAGGTTATTAGAGGTAGAATAGCCTAGAAAATAATTAAATTCTTTCAAGCTCAAGAAATTAAAACAAATTTAATTTTACCTGTGCCCCCAAAACAATACTCATTTGTTTATTCATATTACGTAATTGAGTCATTTGTACACCTTTACAATGACGATAAACATGTATTTGAATACTTATTCCACAAAAAATAATTATTATATAATTAATTATTGTTAATGCTGAAGCATAATTTGCAGTAAAAATTGATAGGTCATTGGTCTGTAAATGTTAATTTTTTAAATGAAAATTGAGGTTCTGTTAGAGCTTTCCATTTCCCTGAGATAAAGAAATTTTTCAGATTTTTTAGGGAACGTGGGGAGTTTTCCGAGAGTCTAATTTCAAGTTCCAGCGGCTTCAAGAGACTCATTTCATGTCTAGCCTCATATTTTTTAACTCAATCAGTCATTATCTTACTCTAGATCTAAGTCCAACAACATAATTTTCAATTGTATAATTATCCAATCCCAATGTTTGTGCCACCTCATAATTAGTTAAATATTCATTTTCTGGTGTTGGATTGTTGGATATAGAAGCACAAACATTTAATACAAATATTGGAATTATCAATCCAACAATTAATAATAATTGGTGTTTAAATTTAACATCAACATCGCTACATAAAAACGTTAAATATTTTAAAAGTTTTCAAGAAAATTTACCGAACAACAGTAAAATAACGATAAATAAATAATGTACAGACATTCATTGAGGTAACTCTTGCCATAAAATAATTTATACGAAGGAGAACGAATTGCCAAGGATTTGGCAAAAAATGTACAGGTCCATAACTCCAAGCTGTACCCGTGCCATTATCAGAAATATAGACCTTTTAAAGAAAATTTAAATAGAAAATTGTTTAGAGGCCTATAATCTGAATATTAACCAAGCATAAATTCACAAATTTTAAGGAGTTAGATGAAACTATTCAGGATATATTGTAAGGAAGAGAAAGATCCAGCAAAGATCCAGCTTATTAAAAGAGAAGGTGAAAGCAGCTTAGCGGTAGCTCAGTTGGTAGAGCATCCGTACGTGATGAGCGAAAGCGACTAGCAATAACTGCCAGGAGGTCGCATGTTCAATCCTGCCCGGAGGATCAAGCTTTTACCTCGCTCTTACTATATGTTCAAATAATGCCGTTTACATTACCTTGTAGACCTCACTATGATCAAATGAACGGTTTAGATAACCTCTTTTATTTGTCTTTTTAATAATAAGGGCCCTGAGGTATTTTGTCAAATATTTTTCTTGCATTCTCCGTATACTTCAAATATTTATTTACCGGTTGAGAAACAACAAACATACAAATCCCAACAATATCAACAAAACAAGTTTGTAAAAGTATTTTGCTATAAACTTGCATTTCTTTCATTGTATAACGTAAAATTAGCCAAACTAAAAACAAATTAGAAAACAATCCAAATGTAGCAAAACAATAAATTATTGTTGAATATATTTCTCCTATTAACATTTTTTCTCTTGAAGGGAAGGGAATATTTTCTTTAAATTTATTTTAATTATTTGACTAACATTTTTTAATATACATATGTACTTTAATTAAAAACAGATGTTTTGTCAAAAAAAATTTTGTTAAATTTTTTATATTAGCTTTTTTGGTTATGTAGAGAGAAGTTCAAACTCGTCATTTCCTAAAGATTTTATGTAGACATTGAATTGTCAATATTCTTGGCATTTGAACCTAAGCTAGGAACTTATTTTGAATTTTTTTATGTTTTTGCCCCCGTCTTAAATATTTTTACAAATTATCCCAATTTTATTTAGGTACTTATTTTAATGTTTTAAAGGGTGCCTTAGTTATTGTAAGGAAGAAAGAGATAAAACCGGCTGTAAATTAGAGTGTTAAAGTAGCACCCCTATATTTCAGTCATTAGAGCACTTGTACTTGTGAGAAGGGTTGTCGGTTCCTGGAAATTCTTCGGATATCCGAAACCGAAGAACCGAACCGAAAAATCCTCGGTTCTTTGGTTCGATCCAGAACTGATAACCCTACTTGTGAGCGAAATCGTTTAGCAATAATTGCCAGGATTGATGCCTGCTCGAAGCTAAACCTTTTACCTTTTCTCTTTCTTTATTATAAAAAAGTTTTTTCAAATAAAAAGGTGTAAAATAATTCAGAAAACTTTGTTTATAAATTTTAAAAGTGTAAATTCAATTTTATTTGTCTCAAATAATTTCTTAAAAATTATCCCACGCTTTTTTCTGATTAAAAAATTATTATTATATTTTAGCCAATTTAAACATTTATATCTGAACTTTGTCGTTATTCTCACGAACCAAGACAGATTTTCTTACTGTAAGAAAGTTTATGTAAACATGTTTTTATAAATTGTTTTATTTTATTTACGTTTTGCTTTTATGTAAAAAATATTTTAATTGTAAAAATAAGGAACTAAAACTAAATAAATAAAAATTTAGATTCCAACAAATATTCCTTTAAATGTTGTATTTGAAAGTAAATTAGCAAACATAGAAAACACAATTTCGCGAAAATTTTATTCAAGAGATTAAAAGGAAAACAAATAAAAACAAAATTAATAAAATAAATGATTAAGATGAAAGATTTAAATTTTTTGGATTTTTTTATTTTTATGGGTTTTAATTTTTCTGATTTTTTTGTTTTTTTTTAATTTTTTGAAATTTTTCTTTTTTCTCGTAATTTAAGCTCGAAATACATCTGACAAGATAAAGTTGGTCGAGATCAAGACCTTGCCTCAGTTATCTTCAACCTCTGACATTTCCACAAATTTGCCCCTAGACCTAAATCTCGGCTTTTCCAACAATTCCAATCAGGGCTGTACACAATTGAAAAAAAAGATTCAGCAACTCGCAATTGCAAAAAACCCCTCAATTTACGCAATCCGCAACTCGCATCCCCAATTGCGTGCAGCCCTGTTTGCAATACTCTGCCCCGGTTTTTAAAAAATCTTGACCTCGACCAACTCTATGAAATCATTAAAAGAGATTTAGGGTGTTTTTGGTCACTGGAATTTTGTCGCTAATTTTTTGGAATTTTGGTCACCAAATGAAAAAATACGAATCTTATCTAAAACTGATATTAATAAATTGTTTTTCAACTCCCAGTTGATCAATTTCACTGTTAATCACTTTATCGGTTGATTTTTGAAAATTGATCAACTGGGAGAGTGATCGGCCAGGAGAGTAATCAACAGTTCTTAACTCCCAGTCGATTAATTTTATCTTGAAATTTTTTTGATCAAAATTTAAAAAAATAGAAAATTGATCAACTGGGAATTGAAAAACAATTTTTTATCACTTTGACCTCAGTTTTAGATATTTTTTAGATAACGAAAAAGTTCATTAAACTGACAAAATTAATTTATAAGGCTACAATTTATGTATATATTTTGGTAGATTATGTATAACAGATTAGAATTAAAAATTTTTCAATTACATCAAAGAAGACCGGCTTTTTCAATTCTCATGATAAGTTTTTTGTATTCACCGTCCTCGGAAACATCAATTAATTTATCCTGACATTTGGGGCAAAAGTATTTTGTAGTGCGGTCATTTGAACTAGTCAACTTCTTGATGCAATCCAGATGAAGAATATGTTTACATTTAACCTCCATAACATATTCTTCATCTTTCAATTCTTTCTGGCAATATGCACATTTTGTTTCATTTTTTGGTAAAGAAGAGTAAGGCACAGCTTTTTCTAAACCCATTCGGCCTATTTCCTCCTTAAAATAAATTGTTTTACTCTTGCCTGACTGTTATTGATAGGCGCTCATCATATACAAGAGCTTTACCACTGAGCTACCGTGGCATCGAACTATCTTTTTTATCCTTCTAGATCGTTTAACCTAAGCGTTTTAAATCTTCTAGAACAATCATCCTTACAATACCAGTATTATGTTATTTAGGAAAATGATAATTTTGGAGGTCAACTTTTTCTTATTTTCTGACAAAATTTATCTAGCTTCCCTATATTTAGTTGGAAGCCGTGGATATTAATCCACCGTCATTATGCTTTAATGATAATTAGACATTTATGTAGCACAAGATCCAGGATGAAGGAAAGAGGGGGAATAAAAAAGGGAGTACAGAGGAGTTTGAATCAGATAAAATTGAAAAATTTTAAAACATACAAGAGCTTTTACTTTCACTTCTTCTTCAATATCGTTTATCTTTTGTTTACAATGTTTGCCATAATCAGATAATATTTTGTATGCTTTTTCATGATTCATTTTATTGAGTTTATATTCGATTTCATCAGCTTTAACCCCCTTTGCAATTAATGCACGAGCAATGAGGTCATGGTGCTACAATATTAAAATTATTTTTTATTACATATATCCGCAATAGTTTTATTTATCCACCTTGAATTTCCAAACATCATGGAAAATTTACCAGACTTAATGAGAATGACAAATGTAAGAATATGTTATAATGTGAACCACTCACAATAGCGGGCGTTCTACTAGATACACCGTAAATACTCTAATACAAGCTTTGGGCTTATATTTTACAATGGGTCTTCTAGGCTCGGCTCATATTACAGTAGCCAAGTCGAGCTTTATATGAGTGTAAATAAAAATTTTGACTAAATTTCAACCAAAAATATTTCCAATAATTTAATTTTAAATAAACTAACATATTTATAATCCAATTTTTTTGGATTTCGGCCTATATGAACAAACATATCATTTAGATAAACACAATTGTTATAAAGTTTTCGAACTTCTTCTTTTGGTAACCCTTTAAATTCGTGAACAAGTTCAATTAATTCGTTGTTAGGGGGTTTTATAGTTAGAATTGAAGGAAAGAAAATAATAAATGAAAAGAAAGGAATTGTTAATTTAATTGAAATTAACATTTTTTGGATGTTTTTTTTTGTTAAATTAATTTTAAAAATTTCTAAAAAAATTATTAAAATTAATTTAAAATTAAAAGAAGGAATTGCTTCCAATCACACGATTTCGGCACTCTTCCATAAATAGGAGCATGTCTTCTTATAAGTTTCGACTTCTATTTTGACTTCGATTACTTATCAAGACAATTAAATAATAAATTAAAAGGCCCCCTCCTCTAGTGATGCTCGGGTATCCCGATCCCGACTCCCGACTCGGGAAAATTTCCCGAGTTTTTGGCCTCCCGATCCCGATCCCGACTCCCGGTGTCAATTCCCGACTAAGTCGGGAAATTTTTACACCCCTAAGAATGGATTTTTCTGACAAAATTATATTTTCATTCAGAAAAAATGAAGAAATCTGGCCTCTTGGTCTTCTAAAATTCCCAAAATTTTCGCCTGCGGCGCTGAAAATTGAAGAATTGGAGTTGTAGTATAGAAGATTTCGGTGATTTACTAGGATTATGGTGAATTTAAAAAGATAACGAGGGATTTGCAGTAATAAAGAGAGGTATCAATCGATGATTAATGTTGCATAGGGGGTGTTAATACTATTGAGGGGATATAAAGAGATATGTGGCTAGTTCACCAAAATTCCACCAGAATTGAACGTAAAAATATTTTTTCTGTTTCACTTTTCCTCTATTTCACTCCAATGGAGAGATTCTAAGGACTTAAGGCCAATGACAACAAATATAAATCAAAGCTGGGCTCTGGCTCAAAGAAAAAGCCCCCAGCAATACCCAACACTGATTATCTCTGCGGTTACAAGGTTCTTTGGACAGGCTGTTGGCTTATCTTTCCAAATAATCAGGGAAATAAACTCTTAAATTACCCTTAAAGATCGTTTAGGACCCCTTTCTATTTCACTCCAATGAGAGTCAAAATTTTTGGCTGCGGCGCAAAAAATGAAAGAAATCTGACTTCTTGACCTAAAAATTCTCAAAATTTTCGCCTGCGGCGCTAGTAAGGCTTCTTTACCTTCCAAAATTTTCAATATTTTTGCCTATGGTGCAAAAAATCGGAATTTTTGGCGCCGAAGGCGCCAAAAATTTTTGAAATTTTTGGAAAATTTTTTTATTGCTAATTCCCGACTCCCGATCCCGACTCCCGAGGTCATTTCCCGACCCGACTCCCGTTTCCCGATTCCCGGGTTTTTTCTTCTCCCGAGCATCACTACCCTCCTCCCCTTCGAATTTCTAAAAGTAATACATATTTTTGACATGTTTTTAAAAAATTAAGGAAAGTTACTAGAGAGAGATTTTGTTTATTTTAAAAAAATTTTTATTAATGGCAGATTTATTGCCACTTAAATAAGCAGCCATCGCTTTAGAAATTAGCCGCCTAATAAAATTTTATTTACATCGATGCCCTTTTAATGATGCACTTTAACGAAAATAAAATTTTAAAAGAGCGGGAATGATAAAAAGAAAAGGGCAAAATAGTCAATGCCATATTAGACTTCACGTGAATTCGCATTAATCGAATGTATGCGGCAAATCCGCTTTTAATTTTTATTATGAAATTTTATTATGAAATCTGCAAATAATAATAATAACAATTTGACCGACAAAGTAAAACATACTCAAATTGTTTCTAATTTAGGTATGTTTATAGTTAAGCACTCAGATTTTCCTTGTCTCTTGACACCTACGGAACACCGGTTGTGGGTTTTTGAGATTAACTGGGGGAGGGCAGAGGACTAAATTAAATTAATAAAATAAATTTAATCGAATAATTAATATAAAAAATATAAAATGAATGAATTTGTGGTTCAATAGAAATATTGGGAAATTCAAAAAAACATTTTTAACAAGAAAATTCCACTGAAAATTTTGAAAATGTAGGAATTACTTGATTACTTTGTTTAGTAAAGGGAATTTTCTGATATAGAAATTTTTTAGGTTTACTGTGTCTTTTTGCCCCCACCCCCCCCCCCTCCCCCCTAATATTAACCTTTTTGTAGCCTTCAGTTCAAACATTGTTATCTATTAATTTTTATTTAATGAAAAAAAAGAAAAATAATATAATTTTAATTTGACAAAAAAGATATTTACAAAATAGCATCACTTTGACTATGCTTAATTGAGGAAGTTTCTGATACTGATGTTTTTACCCCTTCCTTATTATTTTGTATTTCTTTTGCCAAATAACCATATTTCATATGTACAATAATATAGTGTGCTAATTGCCGCCAAACTTTAAAGGAAAAAATTTTTTTTGGAATTTAATTTGCCAATTTAACCTCTTGTAGCGTCTGCTCTCTCCTGTGCGTTAAGTGTGGGGGTAGAAGCAATGTGATTAGTCAAAGCATATTCCATTGCATCCTTTAAATAAATCAGAATTCTTATGTCAGAATTTTATTTTTTATTAAATCAGAATTTCAGAATTATTTTGGTACTTATCGGTTATACGCCCATGAGTGCCAGCCGGATTTGATCAGCTGTAACTTTTTGATGCTTGATCCGATTCAAACGAAGCCTATATATTTGAAAGCCGTCGATAAGAGGAATCTTTTTTTTCAACTTGGATCAAGTCAATCAATTGTTAAAAAGTTATAAATCGATAGATGTGAAAAACACAAAATAACTGGACTTATTGTGTATAACTAGGGTTGGAGGCCCGGTTCGATTCGATTCGATAGATCGAATCGGGCTTCGATTTTTGGCCCGAAAAAGACTCGAACGGCCCGATTCGATAAAAACGGGACCCGAAAAAAATGACGCGAACGTCGGTCACGTCACTCGAATCCAACCCGATATATAAGTTTAAATGAGTTATCAGACTTGATCCATCCTATAGATAAGAGGCACCGCTTATTGAGGGCTTTTGAATAATATCCGATTTATTTTAATTGTATCATAAAAAAGTTATCAATGTTGGATGGCAATCAGTTTGTGGACTTATAACCGATAAGTACCATTATTTTTAAAAAATCATAATTTAATTAATCAGAATTTCTTACAAGGAAAATATCCCAATATTCAGGTTTAAACCCTCTACTGGCATATTTTACATGATTTTCCCCAATTTCAAAAAGTCTCATTTGAAGACAATCCTCCATATGATAAAGGTTTTTTGCTGCATAATTTTGGTGTCATTCGACACGCTCGACTAGTTACTCATGAAAAATAAGGCAGAAAGGGAAGAAAAAATGGTCAGAAAAAGAAGGGGGCGAAAACCGAAGAATTACCATCAGAATTGCAGAATTATTTTGGTACTTATCGTTTATACGACTACAAACTAATGTGAGTGGTAGCCGAATTTGATTAGCTGTAACTTTTTAATGCTTGATACCATTCAAATAAATCTGATATCATTCGAAAGCCCTCGAAAAGAGGAATTTTTTTCCACCTTGAATCAAGTCGATTAATTGTTAAAAAGTTATAAACCGATAAATGTGGAAAACATAAAATAACTGGACTTATTGTGTATAACAAGGGTTGGGGGCCCGGTTCGGTTCGATAGATCGAATCGGGCTTCGATTTTTGGCCCGAAAAAGACTCGAACGACGACCCGATTCAAAAACCCCAAGCCTATGTATAACTTTTAAATGAGTGATCAGACTTTATCCATCCTATAGACAAAAGTTACCGCTTATCGAAGGCTTTTGAATGATATCAGATTTATTTGAATTGTATTATAAAAAAAGTTATCAATGTCGGATGGCAATCAGTTTGCGGGCGTATAACCTATAAGTACTATTATTTCTTAAGAATCATAATTTAATTAAATCAGAATTCCTTACAAGGAAAATATCCCAATATTCAGGTTTAAAACCTCTACTGGCATATTTTACATGATTTTCCCCAATTTCAAAAAGTCTCATTTGAAGACAATCCTCCATATGATAAAGGTTTTTTGCTGCATACGAAATTGTCTGAATTTTCAGAAAAAAAATATTTTTTACTCAAAATTTAAATATACTTGGACAAATTTAAGTGCTTGAGTACGGAAATCAGCACTTTGCCTCCAATCATCTCCGTGACGGTGAATTTTGACAAAGAGAAGCTTGGCTTGAGGGTTGTGGTCGAAAATATACTATAAAATAAAATCAGAATTGATTTTAAAAAATCAGAAAAATTAATCAGAAACTCAAAAATAAAATAAGAATTTAATCAGAATTTAACTAATAAATAAATGAGGAAAAAAGTCAGAATTTAATTTTAAAAAATCAGAAAAATTAATCAGAAACCCAGAAATAAAATCAGAATTTAATTTATAAAAAATCAGAATTTAACTAATAAATAAATCAGAAACTACGTCAGAATTTATTTCAAAAAATCAGAAAAATTAATCAGAAGACCAAAAATAAAATCGGAATTATATTTATAAAAGATCAGAATTTATACTAAATAAATCAGAAACTACGTCAGAATTTATTTCAGAAAATCAGATTAATCAGAATTTTTAGAAATTCAGAATTACCGTATAAATAGTAGTCCCCAATTCATAAAGAAAATCAAAATCGTCACTCCACGTAAGATTTACTAAATTCTAGAAATAAAAAAAAATATATTTAAATTTCCATTAAAAAATATTTGTTCACTCTTTCATATTCATTTGGACACCATTTACTTATCTCATCTTCCGTCCAGTCATCCTCTCTTCGAAATATAAGCTCCTAAATGAGAGAAAAAAGGGGGATTGGTTTAGATTTTTTAATTATTTTTTTAATTTTAATTTTTTTTTTACTTGTTCATTAGTTGCAGCAGTTTCATTTTCCTTTTCATTATTAACTGCCCCGTTTTGTTGTTTTTGAGGTTCTGTTGTAATAACCATTTCTGTGGGGTTGTTGGGTGAGGACATGGCTAAATAATTTTTTAAAAGAGAATTAAATAATTTTTTCATTTTCTAAAATTTTAAAAATTAATTTTTTTGAATTTTGAGGCCTTGAAAATTCATAAAAAATAAGGAAAATTTTTAAAAATGGGTGGTAGAGTAAAATAATTATAGAAGAACCCCTAAAACTTTTCCCAAGCTTTTGAAGTTTCGCCAGCCATAACTTTTTTGTTTAATTATTTAAAATTTAATTTTCTTTTCCATTTGATAGAGAAATTAATTCTCTTTCGATTGACACCAAAATTAACCGGAACAGACCACCCAGTCGTGAGTTATGAGGCCGGGACTGAAACGCTCACACATAGGGCTGTCGTTAACCGCTTTTATTTAAAATTAAATAACTCGGAAAGGATTTATTGGAAAGTTCGGATAAAAAATAAAAATAAATAATTCCCAGTTACCTTTCTCTTCATTCACAGCTTTTTCCTCTTTTTCCTCTATTTTTGTCCCGCCTTTAGTGTTTGACCAAGCATTGGTTGCCCTAACAGTGGCGGAGTGTTGTTTAGCTTTTTTGCAAAAAATCCCACAACAGGACGGAAAAATAGATGAAGAGGAAGAGGTGTTATTATTGTTTGTATTGTTGTTGGGATTACTAAAAAATTATTATTTTTTGATTAAAAAATTATTTTTCGGGGCAAAACATACGTTCGTAACGTATGGTTTGTTACGTATAGGTAAATGCTTATAAAACAAATAAATTAACACCTATAGCCGTGAAAATTTAAAATACCAGCGTTAATACTGTTATCTAACAATATTTAAAATTTCAGAATTTTTGGTTATAAAATTCAGAAGTTATAAACGAAAATGTTCAAAAATTCGTTAATTTCTCTTAAATTTTGATATTTTCAGCCATAACATAAAAACAACTGGACCAAAAATTCTAAAAATATTAGAAGAGTTAGCTATCCTTATTGAGGACATCTCTGCAATATTTCAAGTTTTTAGCTAACATTTTGTTTATTTTACAAGTGCCTACGTGAACTCTTATGAGTAGAAACATTGCCCTTAACTAACATTTTATATTTACGCAAATATAACTTTAAAGAAAAAGTTTAATATTTTTATTTTGCTTTATACATATCAATAGATAGAGAACTAAATTTTCTACAAGATGAAATTATTAATTAAAATTTTATATTGCCCTGATAGAAACATATACCGTATTTACTCGATTAATCCTCCACCCTCAAATACTCTGCCGAATAATCCACCTGCTACGGATGAGTTGAAATAATAATCCCCCACCACCAAATACCCTACTACAAGTTCAAATTTCAAAACTCGAATAATTCCCATTCCTTGAATAATTCCCCATGCTACGGATGGGTAGAAAAAATAATTCACCAAGGGAATTAATCGAGTAAATACGGTAGGTTAAAAATCCCTTCAAAATTAACTAATTTTGATACAAAAAAGTCTATTTTTCTTCTAAAAATTTTTTTATTTCAGGATCCAAAATTTAAACTTTAAAGCTATCTTGTAAGGAATTTAAGCCTCGATTAGTTGAAAATAATTTCGAAATGTTAGATCATTCATAAATCAATAGAAAATTTATTTTAACAGATTAACTTTTGTTTTCTTTTAAAAACAAACTTTTCTTCTTATTTTTTTAGCTTATTAATTTCCAGTAAAAAAAAGAAAAAAAGAAAATATTTTTTATTAGGTAAGCATAGAAAAAATAACAAACAAACATTCAAAAAAAATTTATTGAATAAAGTGTGCCTATAACTTTAAAAAGAACAAATAAAGGGAAAGTAAAAAGAATTTGAGAAGAGTGAATATGCCATAAAAATAAATAAAAAAATGATAGAAATTTTGACATTTTAGAAGTTTAAATATTTTGGAAATTAAAAAATACACAGTTAAAACTTAATTTTGACGTTTTCATTTTAAAAATTTTAATAAAGACCAGCTATCTTAGAGGCTATAAATTTGTTTTCTAAATCTTCAGATAAGCTAGTAAATTCTCTACATATTAAATTAAAATAATCTTCCGGAAGTGGGATAATTTATAAATTAATAGAAAATTATTTTAATAAATTAACTTTTGTTTTTTCTGTTAAAAACAGACCTTCTCTTAACCCTAATAACGAAGTGTATGTTTATAACGAGCTTTAAAACGGTCTGTCTGTAATTTTTTAAACTTTAAAAATATTTATTTTAATAAAATATTAAAAAAAATCACTAAAATAATAAAATTTTATGGAATTCGTGTAGCTTGAGAAATTTTATTTGAGGACGAAAAGACCCCTGGGATTTCGTGTAAAGATAAATATGAATAATAAATAGACGTGTTATTTTGGTATTTTTCTATTTTTATTGAAATAAGAGAATAAATAAAAAATAAAAATTTTCTATTTTTTTTGGTAAATACCGTATTTACTCGATCAATTCCCCACCCTCGAATAATTCCCCACCCTCTATTAATTCCCCATGCCACGGATGGGTTGAAAAAATAATTCCTCGGGGGAATTAATCGAGTAAATACGGTAGATGGAAAAAAAGCAGTTATAGAAGAGTTGGATCAGTTGAGTTCTAAATTCTATAACTTTTTAATGAAAAGTCCTTCCAATTAAATTTTGGTTTCATCCGATAGAAGAGAAAATCTACAACAAAATAGTTAGAAGTCTTTTCGTATTTCGAACAGAAAAGTTCTGATCAAAAAAACTAAAAATTATGGGGGAAAATGACTATATTTTTCGAAATACTTTGAATAAACTGAAACTTTGGTAAATAAATTCTTAGACCTGATCAACTTTTTTTCAATTATTTTAAATTTAAAGTTTGGTTCCTTGTTCTGATAAAAATTAAATCATTTTTTAACTTCAAATCATCCGAATTCCTTTACAACATAATATTCCTTTTTCTGCTACATATTATTGTTAGTTTTTTAATCATAACTTTTTTCAATTAAATAAAAAATTCCCAAATTTAACTATTTTATAGCAAATCTTATTCTCTATTAAAAATTATTTAAAAAAAAAAAATAGAAAATGCAAGAAAGAAACATAAAGGATGAAGCTTAATTAGTTTATGGGGACTCTAATACAATTTTACTTGATAAATGTAAATAAATAAATAAAATTAAAAAAATATTTTTTTAATTGAATTTTAATAAAATAATAAATTTTTATTTTCTTATTTTTGCAAAAAAATTAAAAAAATTTTTTTAATTAAAAATTAATTAACAAAAAAAATTAAATGTTAAATAAAGCTAATTTTTAATTATTTCCTTAAAAAGGAAATGAATAAAATTTTGGTTTTTTAATTTATTTCCCTTTATTTTTAACAAAAAAATATTTTTTAACAATTTAAAACAAGGAAGGAAATATTTATTAAAGGAAGCCTCTAATGAAGCCCTCTCATAGATAAACAAAAGATTATTTTAAAAGAAATAAAGTTAAAATTAAAATAAAAAAGAGGGATTTGTTTACAGTCAAATAGCGAGGGATCTATTTCGACTGTATTAATAGGTATATTGCTTGGTGTATTTTTATTGTAGAATTTTTTGTAAATTGGGCATTTTATTAATAGAGATTTGTCATTTTACTAATATGTAGAAGGGAACAGAAGTAAGAAAGAAAAACTTCCTTATTCACTTAAAGATTCTCCGTAATTGAGTACCTATTGATGACATGTCTTAGAAGTACACCCCCAATCTGGCTTATTAAAGTCAGATTTAAACAATTTCAAATAACCAAAATCAACTTGCTATAATTCTCTAAGTTTAGTTAATAAGGTTGTCGGATCCGGATATCCGGATCCGAAAAAGGCCGGATATCCGAGATTTTCGGTGCGGATATCGACCGGATCCGGATATCCGAGGATCTTACCCTACTTAATCCTTACTCTAATTTCAATACCTTACTTTTAATTCTTTTTTACAAATATTTTTAAAGGTCTATTTAAATTATTAAAAAGAAAAAAAAAATTACTTGTCATTTTTGGGGGCATTAATATTATTATTGTTGTTTTGTTGTTGTTCTGGATTGACTGTAGACATTTTTTTAATTTTTAAAAATTCTAAAATAATTTATTAATATTAATAAATATTAAAATAAATTTATTTATTAAATTGTTTTCTTATTTTCTCATTATTAAAATATACAAATCCACAAGAGAATTTTATTATAAAAAAAATAAATTTTTTATACAATAAAAAATTAATATGGGGAAAGATGTCATTATTGCTTTTTTTACAATTTAAAATTAAACATTTATTATTTTGCTTGTAAATTACACTACATTTAAATAATTTATTAATCCGCAAATCCGCATTTTTAAAAATAATCCTCATCGCCCTATCAAAAAAACCACAAAATGAGGAAAAATCCGCAGATGTGACTCATGTGACTCATAAATTTTTTGTAGATTAGCAAAAATCATTTTTAGTTTCAATTATATTACTTTTTATAAAATTATTAGGGATATCCGTAAATACTCTAATATAAGCCCTAAACTTATATTTTCCAATAGGTCATTTTAAGTGGGCTTATACACAGAGTTTCGATCTCGAAATTTTAAAAATCCGCAATTTTGGTCGAAAAAATCCGCATTTTATATAAAAATTTGCAAAAGATTTTTGAGGATTTTAGAGGGGTTTTAGAGGGTCTTAGCAGAAAAATAATAACATTTTATTTTAAAAACTACAAGAAAATACAAAAAATCCTCATAATCTTCGAAAGACCACAAAAATCCGCAAATCCGCATTTTTAAAAATAATCCTCATCGCCCTATCAAAAAAACCACAAAATGAGGAAAAATCCGCAGATATCGAAACTCTGCTTATACATTAGGCTAGGCTTTTATTTTTCGACCTTCTTATCAGAGATCACAATAAATTTTCAGCCAGTATATAAAATATACATAGAACGGTAACTCGTGCACGAGAAGAGGGTGGCAGACCTGAGAAATTCCCGTATATACAGAATCGATATCCAAACCGAAAATTTGCGAATATCTGG